GAACTTTCTAATAGCTTCTTTATATCTGTCACTAAAGTCAATAGTATCTGGGTAACCATAGTCTTCTTTAAGCATTTTTAAGAATTCTTGGTTTCCTTGTTCTCTACTTCTTTTATGTCCTTGCTCTGTTTGTGGTTGTTGTTGTGCAGGGTTTTGAACTGTTGGTTGCTGTGCTGGTTGTGGAGGTGGTTGTTGTGCTGGTTGTGGAGGTGGTTGCTGTGCTGGTTTTGGTGCATGCCTGTGTCTATGTCCATGTGACGATGTAAATGTGTTAGGTAGTCCTGGTGCAGGTGCTTCTCTTGGAGGGTTTGGTGGTATATAAGTTCCACCAGCTGGCACATATGTTCCATCTGCAGCGTAATGTCCTACCTGACTTTTCGTTTTTAAGAAAGCATTTACTAGGTCTGTTTTGGTCTGTTGTAACTCTTTTTCTTGACTTTTCACAACAGTTGCTCTAACGGCGTCATAGGCACTTTGAACTGCCTGTCTCGTTGCTGCATCTGTTATTTTCGTCATATTTTGTGCTACTTCTTTTAACTCTTTGTCGAAACCTTCAGACTTCAGTTTCTTTCCAGATGAGAAGTCGTTCACTTGTTTCACCTTACTATGAAGAGCTTCGAAGGCGTTCTTAAAGTCAGCATTTGTTAAAGTTTCATTTGAACTGTCTTCATCCGCTTGTATTTTTGTCCTTATTGACCCTATAAGCTGGGCTGCTTTAGCGTTGGCTTGGGCATCTAACCAGTCATTGTTAGCTTTTATATATTCTGCGCTTTTCATTGCCTTTTGCATGGCTGCGTCGTTATTTTTACTTTCTTGTGTGCTAAGTTTTCATACTGTACGGTTTGGTTTTGCAACTGTAAAAGTTTTTCTGCCTTTACATTTGCTTCAACTTCCTTTTTATACTCATCGCTATCCATATATGTCTTCAGGCTTTTTGTTTTATCTCTTCATCTTTCAGTATTTTATATTGAGTAGTATGGTTTTTCAAATTTACAACATCTTGTTCCATTTTTGCTACTTCTGCTGCTTTTTCTGACACTTTTTTCACATATTCCTCTGTACTTAGTTCTTTCAGTTGTTCTTCTTTCTTCTTTTTCTCTACGTTTAACTCATTGAGTTTCTTTGTGTGTCTGTCATATTCTAGTTTCTTTTCGTTTTCACCTATTTGTTTCTGTATGTCTATGTTTGACTTTTTGACATCTGCTATTTGATTTTTGAGTGAACTCAAATTCATTTGACTTTGAGGGTTATAGGCTGTTCCGTCTGCAGCTCCACCATAGCCTGCCATTTTCGCTAAAAGTGCCGCTCTTAAACCTCCACTCTGTGCACCAACAACTCGGTTTAAAAGCATAGGATTGCTTGACATTTGTTGCAACATAGTGGGGTCATTCAGCATTTGTTGTTGCAACTGTTGTTGTGGTGTCAGTTTTACTATTGGATGTTTCAATGCTCTCTTCCTCTTACGTATATTCTTACGTAGCTTACGTGGCATTTTAAGTGAAGTTAAAAAGCGGTTTTATACTAAACATCTTCGGGGCTAGAGGGCGCAACGCGCCTGGAAGCCCCAATGCCTTTTTTTTTTTTTTGATTGTATTTGGAAGAATTGCTTCATAATCCACATAATATGCTTTTGGATTACTTTTATCTTTTTCTTTGTAAATTCCCAGAAATTTTGCTGCCTTAATAACTGCATTGTAACTGATTTGAAATTGTTTTGGATTCATATTGAGAGTCCAATACAATTTTTGAACCCCACATTTGTAATTTTCATAAGAATTCTGAACATTCAAAATTAATTTTGCAAATTACCTCAGACTTTTCAGAGGATTGAGTGGCAACTCAATCCTCTGAAATAGTCTGTGGTAATTTTTAGTCTCTACACTATTTCAATATAAGCTCCATTTTTAAACAGTTTTTAAAAATCGAGCATTGAAAAGTGTGATGAGACTCTGGAGTTAATTCCTCTTGTGGAGGACCACTTTTAATTTTTGGTGTACCACCGATTTCTTTGAATGCTTTTTTGAGAGTATTTCTTGAAATTTGTTTGAAAATTGTAACATTTTGATAAGAATATGGAACTTTTTCCAAAACTGTTGCGTATGTTAACTCACCATAAGGATGTCAATTCGGAAAATTGTTTTCATTTTAGGAGAATATAATTTTCCTTTTCGAAAATTTAAAAAGTGAGATTCGCAGGATTCGAACTTTTTTAAAAGTTGATTTAAATATATTCTAGTGTGGATTCTAAGGATAATATCATATTTAAAATAAGAATATACTAGTTTAGGTGGTATAATTTTTTTCGATAAATTTGAGAGCATGTACGTTTAGGACATCAAAAGTGTCAATTCGCTCAGCGAAAGCCGAGCTAGCTTCGTTCTCGAAAGAATAGGGAAGGAGTGAAAGAGAGTGATACAGATGTTGACACATTCGTATCATTTCAACAAATTTTGATCAAATTGAAATGCAATGAAATTCAATTCACTTCATATCCTTCAGTCAGTACATTGACATCCTTCTACATCACAATGATAACTCGTGCATCAATAGTTCTACAACTAACTCAGAAAAAACAAGATTTTTACTTCCAGCTTACAGCTTTTAAAAAGTTTCGATGATAAAAATCACTCTACTCTTGTTTATCGATATGTTGTGATAGTAGGTAAACGTATTCTTATCGATATTAATAAAAATATTTTTACGAAAATCTGAACCAATTACAGAGTTATTCATAAAGTTTATGATAACTGTAATTACTTCATCTTTGTTTTATATTTGAATAAACAATTTAATTTAATTTGCATAATTTTTTTTAGTTGAAAGACAGGAAACTTAGTTGAGTTTGTATTATTTTTATCGTTCAATTCATTGTATATGTGAGTGATCCGGATATTTAAGATATTTAGAAAAAATTTATTAATTTGATTAACAAGTTTTAATCAAAATAGCAAAAATCTATTTGATAGCTGTAAGCAAATAATAATTTCTATTTCAACGAAAATCACTTATTTTCATCTAAACGTATAAAATTGTCAATTTTATGAGAATAAATTTAAAATCTCATGAAATATAAAGGAGAGTAATATTTTTCAATTTTCTTTTTTTCTTTCTCTCAAATATTTTCTATTGGAAATTTTCTTGTTATCAAAAAATAATTTTAATATTTGTTTATTTCATTACATACAATAAAATTTTAAAAACTCTATTTCTTCACAAGAAAATTTTTTTCCTTCATATGAAGAAACATTTTGTTCTCCATTTGATACTGAGTCCAAATCTCGATTTTTGAATTTTCTTCTTTCCAAATTTCTTTTTTCCAAATTAGAAGTTTAATTCAAATTTTCAATAGTTTATATATTTTCTCAAACCGTCTTAGATTTTCTCACTTTTTAGGGATTTTCTCTCAAAATATACAAAAATAGTAATACCAATAAATGTGTCTAATATACTTTAAAACCATCGTGATAAAATTCAAAAACGAAGAGTTCTTCTCGCCAAATTTTTTTCAAAATCAAAAAAATGAGATAAAAAACACCTTTGGAAAATTCATTTTTAGCATTTTAGGAATTTTCTCACTTTTCTTCCAAATTGACATCCTTACTCATCACTTTCAAGTTTTTCATACATATATCTTACCCATTCATTTGGAATACGAGGTCTCGAGTTTTCGTTCATTTTTTTTACTTTACACAACTGTTTATTTTTCAGAATTTTTAAATTTGAAAAAATCCATTCTATATCTGATAAATAATATATTATTTTTCAATCAAAATATTTTGATTATCATCTCAAAAGTGTTCTCAAAACCTAGTTTTTCTTATTTTGGATAATCTTAATATTTATATTATTATAAACTAATTGAACACCATATGTTTTTGTATACTTTTACAAAAAAATTGATAGATTTGTGATACTTTCCCCGACGATAGAATTGAATAGCTTACATTTTGACAGAACTTAATATGGAAGATTAAGATAGGTTCTCCAATGTGATAACATAATTACTCGCTTATTTGCAATTATTCCTCAAATCAATTCTATTTTAATGCAAATCATGCGGTAAACCACTAATAAATGATAAGACATATATGCAAATACTCACTAAAATCTATGTGTATGCTCAAAACTAGAATAATACATCAACTTAGATATTGAAGATTCAGATCAACTAATAACTTATATCATCCAAGTCTGACTCTTGCATGGCTTAAACACGGCTCGAAATGGTACGACCAGATTCAACAGTTTTCCTCAATAACAGGTTTCACCGCACAAAACTGAATTTTGGAGGGTAGCACACTAAAAAAAATTATTCCCCTCCCCAAATTTCAAACCGCAAAAGTGAATAAAATTTTGCAAAAATGAACAAATCCTTGTTTTTATAGTATTAGAAAGTTTAAAGATCAGAGTGATACATAGAGAGTTATATAATAATTTTTACATTAAAAATTGCCATATTCAGTTAGAAATTGCAAAAAAAATTTAGAGGATGCACTTACACATTTCTGACAAAGCACGAAAAATGGTCTTTATCAATCAAAATGTCATGCAAAATGAATAAGAATTAACCATTAAAAATACATTCAATAAGAAAAGATCAATATTTACAATTTTTTTGTTAGTTGTAGCATAATTAAGACAAATTTTCCAAATACTATCCTTGGTATTAATATCTAATGCAAATGCATAATAAACTAAGGTTTCATAATATTTCTTTACAACAATCCATTTCATTTTTAAATATGATTCTTTCATTTCTATAATGAAGAAGAGTTTTTTATATGAATTAGGATAAATGAACCATGATTCAAGAAAGTTATTGAAAAATACATATTCGTTGGGATCGATATCTAGTTTTCTTTCAATCATTAAGAAGGAAACAAAAATTATTTAGCTATTGGATATCTCAAATTTATGTTTACGCTTCATATAATCGAATCAAATTTAAATATTATTTTATATTTAATTGTTTATTTTTGTTACTCAACTGATGCAATTATTTAAACCTTTTCTCCAGATTCTGACTCTTTCTCATCAGATTTCTTCCTAAAAACGAAGAACCAAACAAGAACACAGACAACTACAATTACAATAATAATTATTGCAATTGCAACTCCAATAATTAGAATTCTACTAGGTCCATTACCTGTTCCATTTGATTCAATTTTGCTTTCTTTAGGCTGTTCTTTAAGTTCTTCTTGTGTTTTTGTACCTTCGGGAATCTCATATAGTAGATCTTTTTCAAATAATGACTCTGATGCCTCTATTGATGAAGACTTGCTCTCTTCTATATGTGCCATAAATCTTCCCAACGTTGTCGAATTTGGCATTGACAGTTTTGGATATGCTACAATAGTTTTCCCAACTAGTTGAGTATAGGCTGATATATTTTCAGAGCTGTAATATTTGTAATATACTTCTCCTTGTCATTCGAATCTTCCAACGAAAAACTTTATATTTTCCGTCCTATGTGCTGTCCACATAACTACTTCACCTGATGTTTTAACTTCATAATCATGTTGTAATTTATTCTTCGTTGTGAAAAATGATCTTACTGTGCCGTTGAAATCAGGTTTTTTCATTGTTATCAAATGAACTTTACACTCTTTTTGTGCATCTCCACATTTAAGAATAGATAATGGTGCTCCTCCAAAGATACTGAATGGGTTAGAAAATTCTGTCGGCTCTTTATCTTTCGTTGATAAATTGTAAACTTCCAACTTATATTGATCCTTTGAAGCAAATACAAAGCCTCCTGAAATGCATTTATACTCACCAGCTTTAAGTGAAACAATGACACTTTGCGGATGTTCCTCACCAACTATCATTGACTTTTCCTGGGACTGGCATTTCGCTTTGTATTTAGTATTCAATTCTTCATTTATAATTTCCTTATCGGGATTTTGTGGATCAGGTTCTTGTGGATCAGGATTTTGTGGATCAGGTTCTTGTGGATCGGGATCTTGCGGATCAGGATCTTCGCCACCTGACTGAATATCGGTGAAAATATCCTTATGATAATCTGTATATGACTTAATTTGGCTAAGAACATAGGCACCTTCTTCAGGAAGAATGTAGAAAAGATCTTCTCCAAATGGATTTCTAAATCCTGGTGTTGGCTCTTCATCATTTTGGCACTTAATTTCAACTACTTCATTGGATTGATCATTTGAAGTAGCAACTACACAAATTCTATTTCCACTTGATGATGATTCATATCCATTTACAAGCACTCTTGTAAGGCTCTTGTCCTTTTTAATAGTAAACTTTAATGGATATTCATTAACAGCAACAATTGTTACTGTATGATCTGGATCAATTGTAGTTTTCTTACTGAAATTTTTCATTGTGGAAAAAACTCCATAAAAATTCTTTGAATTAACTGAATGCGAAACGTAAACACCAATGAGCGAAATTCTCATGGGTCTGTTTTGGATAGGTATAATTTTAATTTTTGTTTTTCTTGCTATAGAGCCTATCAATATGGGGTTTTCGGCATGTACTTCTCTTCCAATAGTAGTTTGACCATTTCGTTCAACATCGAACCTATAAATAACATGATAGGGTTCATCAGATTGAATAAAAACTGATCCATCAATACACAGAGAAGAATCAGCATAAATGTGTTCGGTAACCATCTCTGTAGGACCAACAGTAATAGTATTATCAGTTTCACATCCATAAATAGGTCTTATTTCAGACAATACTTGAATTACTAATAAAGCAAACATAAAAATGAAGTATTATTTGAATAAATGTTCTGAAGAGATCCGAATTTATTTAAAAAATAATTTCATAATTTCTATTATATTTAATTAACAATTATTTGGCAATTATTCATAAAATATATTTGAATGATTATGATGAAAAAATTGAAAGATCAGATAGGGTTTCATTCAATTGATTAATTTCTGAAATTATTATAAAATCAGGGACTGAGTCGAATATGGAAAACGATTAAACTTGTATATTCTTAACGAGAAATAAACTTTATGACTAAATCAAATGTAAGAATGATATATGATCAACACTTTTAAATTTCATCTTAGAAACGATATAATAAAAATAATTCAATCCGGTGATATGCTCTCAAATAACGTTGTAAAGCTCACAATTTTGATAAACTTTTCAATTCATTCAATTTTTTTGATATTCTGGGCCTTTTATAGATCCGACTATCATGAATAAACAAAATATATTTTTAAATAATTTTTATTAATTGTAGAAACAAGACATATCAAACTTTGGGTCGGCTTTTCTTAACTAACGTTTACTTTGCGAGATTTCTTAGAGTTTATCTATTTTTAAAAAATTTATATTCGTGCAATAGTTTTTAATTAGGATTTCGAAATTATCATTTTTATAATTTTTTATGAATATTGCAGTTACGAGTTATGCATGAGAAAATTGATTTCAAAAGACATAAGATTATAAATAGAAAAATGATTTTCAAAATAATAAAATATTCTTTTCATAATTTAAAATTTCATTAATTGTAATGGAATAATATTGATTATGTGTATGAACAATGCCATTCCTTAAGATTGTTTATTTGCATTTATGTCAGTAAACTCTTGTGCAAAATCCATGAAGTTAAACATGTGAAATAGTAATAAAACTAATCAGGGAAGTATCATTATGAGCGATCTAATATATCTTTGATTTAAACATGTTCTTCGAAGTCAATATCATCTCAAAAAAAAGACGATAATCGTTATGTCAAAATTTCAAGAAAATAACCTTTAACTTTATCATTATCATATGTTCTTCTTGGCACTATACACAGTCAGAGCAAAAGATTTGCTTGAAGCATTCTTTATTGTAATTGTTTCTTTCATATCAAGCAAATTCTTTGTTGTGAAAATTGAATATAAATTACCATCCTTATCTGAACGAGGTGTAACAATTGGAACAATATGTACTTTGCACTCTTTTGTGTCATCAGAGCATTTAATTACGCTAATATAGTCATCTCCTACAATACTAAATGGGTTTTCAATTTCGGCTGGTTTCTCGGTTGGTGCTGAAATGTTATATACTGATGCTTTGAATTTTTCTTTAGATGCATAAACGTAGCTTCCCGATATGCATGCGTTCTTCCCTGTAGCAATTGTAATAAGAGTACTTTCAATAACACCTCCAAACCTAACCACTTGGTTACATTCGATACCATCTGGAAGTTTGGTTGGGATACCTGGAATAGGTTGTCCATCAGGGTTTCCTTCTGGATTGCCTTCAGGATTTCCTTCTGGATTGCCTTCGGGGTTTCCTTCTGGATTACCTTCAGGATTACCACCAGGGTTTCCACCTGATGTTTCATCTTTGAAAATATTCATATGCTGAGTTGTATATGTTTCTATTTGCTCAAGAGTGTAAGCACCAGCTTCTGGGAAAATATAGAAAAGATCTTCTCCAAATGGATTTGTAAATCCTTCTGTAGGCTCTCCTACCTTTTCCCGTTTAATTACAGCTTCACCAGCACCTGAGTAAATAGTTAGATATAATCTATTGCCAACATCACTGTACATTCTACCATCTGCCATAGTTAAGCTTGATACATCTTTGGAAGAGTCTGTAATCTTTAATTTGTTTTCATTTACAACTACAAGGCATAACATTCGGGATGAAGAAACTGTAAAATTCTTATCAAAATTTTGCTTTGTGGAAAATACCCCAAATGTTTCTACATGTGAATCTTTGTATGCTGTAAAAACACCAACGAAATTTACTTTAAGTTCAGAATTACCAGATGATATTTTAATCAGGCAATTACCATCATTATTGACGCCTATTACTAGAGGGTTTTGAATGGTTTGTACGCCAGTTGGAAATCCAGATTTAGTTATCTTATAATCAGCTGTGAAGTCTTTGTCGGCTTTAATAAGCACAGTTCCTGAAATACAAATAAAATCATTTGCTGGAATTGTTATCGTATAAATTGTCGTAGGTTGAGCGCTAGTGGTTTTTCCTGAACGATCATCTAGAGTTGCCGAAAATGATTTAAAGTAAAATATAGCAAACATAAAAATGAAATGATTATTGAATAAAAGTTTTGATGAGAAATTGAATTTTTTTAATGCAATACATTAAATAATAAATGAGAATTGACTATAGGCAATTCACAATTTTAATTTGACTACTTAGGAAAATTGAATATCAGGGTATTGAAATGAATGATTCGTATCTGATTTTATTTTCAATTAATCTTTATTTGCGTTGCCATAATTGGAAATTATTCTTGGCTTAGTTTGTTTCAATTCATATGAATTACGTAAATTTCACCGGATATTCCAGATATAATTTATTGTTCCAATACCATCTTAACACATGAGAAGGAAAAAAGATCTGAAATTTTTATTGTATTAAACGTAATTAAAATGAGAAATAATGATAATATCTAACAAGAGAGTTATCAACAATTTATTATCAAGAAAGTAACCAGGAAATAAGTTCCGAAAACATGAACGTTAGATTCGGAAATTTTGAATTCTATTTCATACTTATCACAATATACATTTTTTGTCAACATAAAACTACATAAAATTGAGAAAATGATCATGGTTCTAGAATTTCTGTGTCAGATATTACAATTCTTTCTATTCAATTTTGAGAAGATAATGATTAGTTCTCAAATAACGTTGTAAAGTTCACAATTAAAATAAACTTTTTATTTCAAATTAGGGGTCGGTTTTTTATAACTAATTTTCACTTTGCGAGATATTGTAGAACTTAATTTTTAATAATATACTCACGTAATAATACTTAATTAGGATTTTGGAACAATTATTTTTTTAATTTTTTTAGATATATTGTAGTTGCGAGTTATGCACGAGAAAACTTAATTCAAAAGACATAAAATTGTAAATAGAAAAATGCTTTTTTAAAAAAAAAATAAAATATTCATTTCATAATTTAAAATTTCACTAATTATAACGAACGAAAATTGAACTTGTATGTGAGTGATTTCATTTCGTAAGATTGTTTATTTGAAATCATGTTAGTAAACTCTTGTGCAAGTTTCATGTAGTTAAACTTGTGAAATCGTAATAAAACTAATCTGGGAAGTATCGTTATGAGCGATCTAATATATCTTTGATTTAAACATGGCCTTCGAAATCAATCTCATCTTAAAAAAAATAAAACATGACAATAATCGATAATCGTTATGTCAAAATTTCAATAAAATGTCAATAAATCTTGTTAGGTGAAAATTTTTATTTAATTCTTCTACAACGATAACATAAACATAGAAAATGCTATGACATGAACATTCAAGTGTAGAAATTAAAGAAATGAGAATTGAATTATCATATTTTAGTAATAACAAACATATGAATAAGTTTAATTAGATAAATATCTTTCTTGTTGATAAATTCTAATGGAATCTATATAATAACGAACTGGGAATGAACTATCATCGATCTCTCCTCCTGAAGCACCTCCAAGAGCGAGATTTACAATCATATAATGTGGATGTTTGAACGGATTGCTGACTAAACTCCATTCTCCTTGATTAACAATTCGTGATAAATTAACAGCTGTGCATAACTCTCCATCCAAAAACAATTTAATGGAGTCTTCATCCCAATCCATTCTCCATAAATGATACTTTTCATCCCAACGATCATCATTTCTCTTCCAATATGTAGAAACTGGAATCCAAACCAATTCCGAAAGAGGCACCATTCTTGTAATGTTTTATCTTGGAAATATTCCATCGTATCGATTTCGCCATTTCCTGGCCATTCTCCACAAATAGTTCGATTTCCTTGGAACCAAAATGCTGGCCAAGCTCCACCTGAACGAGGTATTTTAGCATAGAAATCAAATCTTCCGTATGTCCATTCAAGGAGGCCATTTGTTGTTATTGATGCAGATGTGTAATTTATCCATTTTCGATTTCTCTCCCAATGAGAACTTCCTTCTTTATAATTAGGATTCAACTTCGTTTCTTTTCTGGCTTCAATAACTAAATTTCCGTTTTCTACCCATGAATTTTCAGGTTGATACCACTGATCCTCTTGGTTTCTAAGAAATCCTATTTCATTTGACCATCTTTTATTATCTACTTTTCCATCAACTGAAAATTCTTCGCTCCAAACTAATTTATATGTTTTATCATGGTCGATACTTTCTTTGACTTTCTGAAGTTCATCTGGTGTTGCAGCAACTATGTTTCACGTACCTGCATCTCTAAATTTTGTTTTATTTAACATAATCAAAAAATGAGCAGAACTAATCGCATAAACAGCTCTACCATTCTGATCGAGTATTTGAAAAGAGTCTTCTTTTATTAGTGAAATAACTTCAAATAAGTATGGTTTGTCATCAGAAATAACTTCATCATATTTGTTAATGGAAAGATAGAGACCCGATCCTAGATTTTTGATTTTATAATATTCCTTACCTTGAATTGGATAGATATCAAAAATCCAGAGTTGATTCGGATCATAAATTTTGTCACCCCAGCGATTTGTTGCATCTGGAGTTGCCCTTGCATTATATATGACCCTTCCATTACAATGACTTGGCCCATTTGATAAAATCCACATAGCAACATGTGGCAAAATCATTCGAAAAAAAAATTGAGAGGCCAACAAAGTTGTAAGAATTTAAATTTGTATCGGATTTGTTAAATCCTTTACAAAATGTGTTAACAATAATAATGATATTTCCGAAATCAAAATTATGAAATCTGACACACCCGTGAAGCAGTAAACATCAATTTCAAAAAAAACATCATAAACATAATAACTTACCCCTCCATTCTACATTTAGAGATATTAAAGAGAACAATTGGAACGTTTAATTGATAAATATGCAATGAAAACAGAGAGATTTGCATTTGAAATTAAATGAAGAAGAAAAAAAAATACTTTAAACTATTCATATTTTATAAAGCACAAACAAGTGAAAATAATCAATTAGATAAATATCTTCCTTGTTGATAAATTCTAATGTAATCAATGCAATAACGAATTGGAAATGCACTATCATCAATGTCTCCTCCTGAATCTGCTCCAAGAGCAAGATTTACAATCAAATAATGTGGATATTTGAAAGGATTACTAACAAGTTTCCATTGACCTTGATTTATAGTTCTCGAAAGAGACACAATGGTACATAACTCTCCGTCTAAATACAGTTTAATGGAGTCTTCATCCCAATCCATTCTCCAAAGGTGATACAAATTTTCCCAATTTTCAACGTTTCTCTTCCAATCAGAAGAAACAGGAGTAGAAACTGATTCCCAAACAGCCTGCCATCTGTTTGAAGATGCCCATGCAAGGTTCGCCACGGTTCTGTCTCTATAATATTCCATTAAATCAATTTCACCAGATGATGGCCATTCTCCTGTTATAGTATCGTTACCAAGGAACCAAATTGCAGGCCATGCATCTCCTGAAATCGGTATTTTGGCGTAGAAATCGTACCTTCCATATATCCATTCGAAACTATTACCTGTTGAAACTGAAGCTGATGTGTAATTGATCCATTTTCGTGATTTCCTCCAATCAGAACTTCCTTTTTCATAGTTTGGATTTGGTTTTGATTCTTTTCTGGCTTCTATAATTAAATTTCCATTTTCAACCCATGCATTTTCTGGTTGATACCACTGATCTTCATGATTTCTGAGAAAACCTGTGCTAGATGTCTAATTTTCGCTACTTAAGCTTCCATCAACAGAAAATTCTTCATTCCAAATTAATTTATATGTTTTCTCATAATCTACTCTTAGTTTGACTTTATGGAGTTCGTCTGGTGTTGCAGCAACAATGCTCCATGTGGAGGCTTCTCCAAATTCAGTAATATTTGAAATTGTCACAAAATGTGATGACTTAGATGCATAGACAGCTTTTCCATTCTGATCTAGTATGAGAAATGAATCATCTTGCATAAATGAAACTACTTCAAATAGATAAGGTTTATCATCAGAGATTACTTCTTCATATTTATTAATAGAAAGATATAGTCCAGATGCTAGGTTTTTGATTTTATAATACTCTTTACCATTTAATGGGTAAATATCAAAAATCCAAAGAGCATTTGGGTCATATAATTTGTCACCCCAACGATTTGTTACTCCTGATGTTGCCTTTGAGTTGTATAAGGCTTTTCTATAACAATAACTTGGGCCATTTGATAAAATCCACATTGCAACATGAGGCAAAACCATTTCAGATAAATAACTTTTGAATCAGTTCACAATTTTATTACCTGACGGTAACAAAGTTCTTGTAAAACTAAATACATTAGAAATATTACATTTTTTCTTTGAATAGTTTGCTCAATATTTTCAGAATGATTATCGGAACTCTTACAGATCATGTAATATTAATCTGTCTGTAAAGGAATTTAATATCCATATTCACAGTCTTTAAAATCAATATGACGGGCAATAAAAACAAAAATTGCATTATATTAGTATAATATTATATGATCTGATCAACATTTAAAAATAATATTTGAAAAATTGAAAAAGACTTCATTTTCAAAAAATGCTTGTTTATGATTCATTTTCATTTCAAACCATTTTGATGCGGATAGCCGTAACTGAAGCTGCAAGTCTAGAATACTCAGATTGAACATTAACAATCAAAGGAGAAGGAGATATCCCAAGCGAAATTTCGCAATATAAAGATACTGCAACAACATTAGTAATAAACAGTAGCATCAATACGATTCAATCTGATTTATTCACAGGTTTTTCTAAACTTCAGACTGCTCAAATCAATTATATCAAAGAAATACAATCCAATGCATTTAAAGATTGCTCATCGTTAACAACAGTATACTTACCTTCTACTTTGTTAACATTAGATGTCCTAGCCTTTCAAAATTGTGTAAATTTGAACTCAATCACAGTTCCTTTATCAAATAGCACATATTCAGTATCTCCATTCAAAACATGCACTAATTTGAAATATATTTCTGTGATAGATTCAGATTATGGATTTAAAGATTTACCATTAAATTATTTAAATGGTTGCAAGAACATAAAGAAGCTTTCATTCGAAGGTAAAACCATTAGACTTCATGGACCAATATTCAAGTACCATCAAAATCTCGAATCAGTGTCATTAGCATGTCGAAATGCGGAATTTGAAGAAGAAACATTTATGATGAGTGCTCAATTAAGGATATTTAGCTGCACAGGCAAAATCAGCAAAATACCAAAGAAATCATTCTACAAATGCTACAATTTAAGGCAAATTAAATTTTATTCAGAAGATTTGATAATAGAAAACGAAGCATTCTCGTATTGCAATCAATTATATCAATTTCGATGCCCGTGTCAAACAACAGCTGTTTTAGATTATGCTTTCTCTAACTGTGTAAATTTATATGATTTTATTCTTGGAAAATTGACAAAAATTGGAGATTTTGCATTTACAAATTCTTCTGTTTCTCAAGTCTATATTGTCAATGTTTCTGATATCGGCCAGAATGCATTCCAAGGCTGCAACATGCTCAATGTTATTGCAATTGAAAATAAAATTGTTGATGTCAAATCCGACGATTATTTTACATTCAAAAATTTGACATCATTTATATTGAATGGCAATGATGTCACCATTAATGATAACTCATTATATAATTGTACAACAGTCGAATCAGTTACAATCAACAGCCAAAATCTGAAAATTGGAAAATCATCTTTTTCTTTTTGTTCAAATTTGAATGAAATTTCGTTGAATTCGAACCAAATCGATCTGGGAATGAGCTCTTTCAGTGATTGCATTAATGCTAAATCATTGACAATAAATGGTATCGCTTCATTAAACGAAAACGTTTTTATGAATTGTAAATCTCTCAAATTTACAAAATTTGACACAAATTCAAATAATTTGCCAAATAATTTGTTTATGAATTGTGACAAAATAGAGACGATTTTAATCAATGGATTGATAACAAGTATAGGTGATTCTGCGTTTAAATCATGCAGCTCGTTGACATCTGTTTCATTTAAATCAAAAGAAAAACTGACATTTGGAATTTCTTCATTTGAAAACTGTCAAAAATTGGCAAAAATTGACCTTCAAAACATAAATATTGAAATTAATAAGCAATCATTTTATAATTGCCAAAATTTCCAAGACCTTGGCAATTCCAATATAACAAAACTTGGTGAATTCAGTTTCTTTAACTGCAAATCATTAAAAGAAGTTCAAATTTCATCGGAAGAAATTCCACAAAATTCATTTGAAAACTGTTTGAATTTAGAAGAAATCCAACTTAATTCAACAACAATCATCCAAACAAATGCATTCCATAACTCTGGAATTAACAAAGTTATCATCAGATCTAATGACATCACCATTAAATCAAATGCTTTTTCTCAATGTTTGAATCTTAAATCTTTTCATGTTTATGGAAATATAACTTCTATTGAATCTAAATCATTCGAAAATGATGCCAAATTGAATGAATTTGTTTATTGCGGCACCAAAGAAGTTTCATCTTCTTCGGTTTTCGATGGTTGCGAGTCATTAAAAGAGATATTTGTTGATGGAAACTACAATTCAAACAAGTTTTCAGACATCAATGTAAAAGAAAGTGAAATATGCGGGAAAATAGAAGAAGAAGATGATGAAAACGAAGATAATTCAAATGATTCAAGATCCAAATCGAAAACAACAAAAATAATTGTTTCAGTCGTAGTTGTTTTGATTTTGATTGCGGTTGTAATAGGAATTGCTTTATTTATAATTATGAAGAAGAAACATTCATCAACTGAAAAATCTCAATCAATTGTTCAAGAAGAAATTGTAATAGATGTTTGAGCTAAATTAATCCATTTTTATCTTGTATATATTTTAAAAATAAATTTATTGAGTTTTATTTCATTTTTAATATACTAAAAGGATGAGAGGGGAAAAAATAGAAGAATGAAAAATGAAAATTAATTATTTACTCTCGTGTCATTTTGCAGTGATTGTTTTAAACCTTTTCGCCTGATCCTGAGCTCTTCTTATCTCCAGATTTCTTCCTGAAGACGAAGAACCAAACAAGAACGCAGACGATAACAATGATAATAACAATGACAACAACTATGGCAACAATTGCTCCTGTACCAAGGCCACCCTTATTCTTAACGGCATTAATCTTGCTTTCTTTAGATTGACTCTTAACTTCTTCTTCCGTCTTGGTGCCTTCAGGAATCTCATAGATTATATCTTTTTGGAATAAAGATTCGGTAGCCTGTTCCGACCCGGATTTGCTTTCCTCTATTTCAACATAAATTTGTCTTTTCTCTGCTTTCATTCCATCAGCAAACATTGGGTAAGCAGCAATAGTTGTTCCGCTAATTTGGCTGGCTTTATTTTCTTTATCAGAGTTATAAAGATGATAATAAATATTACTGCCCTGTTCTGCACCTATTGTCAACTGTTTCTTTTCTAAGCTATGAACTGTCAATGTAAATAAATCTGATGAGTCATCTGACACCTGCACTTCTTGGTCGAAATCTAATTTGTTCTTTGTTGTGAAAATAGCATGTACAGTGCCATTGATTTCAGGTTTTTTGATAGTTATATAATGAACTTTGCACTTCGATTTTTCATCTTTGCATTTGATAATAGATGCAACTTCATCACCATATGCACTGAATGGCTTGTTGAATTCACTATAATTCTTATCATTTGATGAGAAATTATACATTTCCAATTTAAATTCATCATTTGAAGCAAATACAGCACTTGGAACACATTTATATTCGCCCTCATTGAGTGAAACAACTTCACTTTTTGGTATATTTCGTTCAAAATCAGTAAAAACATCCATTTGAGTCGCACACTTCAAAGTGTACAATAAATATAATGGATTAATACCTTCAGGTAGATCATCAGGATCAACAACAGGATCAACATCAGGATTATCATTACCACCACCACCGTTGAAAACATCCATATGTTGCTCTGTGTATGTAGTAATTTGTTCAAGAGTGTGAGCACCTTCTTCAGGGAGAATATAGAAAATATCTTCTCCAAATGGATTTGTATAACCAACTACTGCTTCGGTACTTGGATCTGGTTCACATTTAATTGTAACTTCTTCACTTGAAAAGGTATTTTCTTTATCATCGTGATGTGAAGATAGACTTAAAGATATACTATTGCCAATTTTCTTTTGTAGGTCTAAATCTGCCATAAAAATTTTATCGGATTTTTCACTTGTTATTGTAAACTTTAATGGGATTGCATTTGTAGCTACAAGGGCAAGTCCTTGTAGCATATTAATTTTCATTTTCTTTTCCATATTCTTCAAAGTGGAAAATACACCATAATAATGTCCTCCCCCTACTCCTTGTGACATTGGTACTCCGATGAGTGTTATAGTAATAGCTTCTCCTGCATTTTTAGGTGTTATCTTAATTTTGTTCAATTTGGTAAGTGAACCAACTAAGACGGGATTTTCAACAGATTTTAATTCCCCATTTTGTTGAGTTGCCGCATCATCGAACTTATAATTAACTGTATAGTCCTTGTCAGCTTTAATAAGAACAGATGACTCTACGCAAATACTTTCACCGGATCCTGCCGCAATTGTTTTTGTAACTATCATGGAGTTAGCCATAGGAACTTTATTTTGATCTGTGCATCCAGGTATTGGATCAATAGCTGATAAAGATCTAATTGCAAATAATGCAAACATAAAAATGAAGTGATTGTTAGAAAAATGGTTTTGAGAAAAAATTTTTAATTGTGTTTTACAATATAAATAATTAATATTCGTTTATATATTTTGGAAATTTGACATTTGATAACAAATAATTAAGCGTTAGAGATAATTGAATAATATTCAATTATCCTTGACATTGCATTTTCAATAATACTATATTTGGATCCTATTATTCTATAAAGAATTGAAGCGTTGAGAAATTCAAGGAAAGTGTCGGTTATAATTTTATTCAAATGATAAATTAATAATAAAATCTTAATATATATGGGAGTATGGAGTAATCGAAAACCCTCTCGTTTGATTTCATTAAAATGAAAAATGTGATGAAATTCAGAATATTGTAATTCTATATAATTCAATAATAGAACAATTTACTTCAAACGATACAAAAAACGAGTGATTCAATTTTCGAAAAGCACGTTAGAATAAGAATTGACATTCCTTTTTCCATTGGTTAACATTCCTGTGTTATAAAAGGTATTTTATTTAAACTCAACAATAGATATATTCATAAAAAAATGGAGCATTTACATTTACAATTACTCATTTAATGAATAAAAAAATTTTATATATAATCAATTTTCCTCAAGTTTTCTGAGCTTTGCCTCAGAAAATTTTGAGATATATATAAAATATCACACCCTTCAAGTTGTTTTAGGATTATGATTTTATTGAAAAAAATGGAAAACAAAAAATTGAATTGTTAGATATACCAAGTTCACGATTTTTCAGAGGATATAAAATTCCTGAGTTTATGAGATCACATTTTAATTATCCAATTTTTAAAGAGCCGATCTTCCTCGAATATAAAGATTTTGGTCTAAAGTTGAGAATTTCTGAAATTCACGTTGATGATATATCAAAATCCTTATTTTTAGTAACTATAATAGTTGGATATATTAAATTATAATAATTCTTTTTTTCCTTGTATTATTATTTTCGTCTGGAAAAGCGATAAAATTATCGTTTTCGTCAGACAACAACAATAATTTTTTATTTTCAGGGTCATGCTAAAAAGATAAATTTATGAGATTGCATTGCATCTATTAGGAAATTTTAGTGAAAGTAAATTGAATGGTTTGAGTTTATGATTTTAACTTCGCAAAAAAAATTGACTCGAAATTCACAAAAAATGAAACAATGTGAAGTTAGAAATAGGATGATAACATGCACAAGGAGCTATTAAATAAAGTTGTGTATGAGTGGATTGTGCTTGAATTAATAGAAATAGAGTTATCGTTCAATAGTTCAGATGCCAGACGAAAATGATATTGCTTTTTTTAACAAACATGTAGTAATTGTAACATTCTCTAAAAGAAACATCTATTTTAGGACTTAATGAATCAACCTCTCGAAGAAACTTGTTGGGTAACATTTTCCGTGGATCTTTTTATGGTGCACTTATCACTTTTTGGTATTCTCTCAATTTTTTTTTAAACATCCAAGGATTAAAAGTTAATATTTTTGGTGAGGAATAACGTGCTCAATGTTATTGCAATTGAAAATAAAATTGTTGATGTCAAATCCGATGATTATTTTTCATTCAAAAATATGACATTATTTATATTGAATGGCAAAGATGTCACCATTAATGATAACTCATTGTTTCTTTCTTGTCAGCTTTGTTTCTAAAGACGAAGAACCATCTGAGGAAACAAATTATTGCAATAACAATTACAATTGCAACGATCATCACCACCAACAGCCTTTTCTTCGCCTTTCTTTGAATTTTCTTTAATTTCTGATGGTCTAATGGGATATCATTCATTATAGAATCAGCGAAAATTGATTCCTTCGGCTCTTCTGCTGAATATTTGACACCGCCACTAAACATTCACATTTGATTACAATCGATTCCTTCTGGAAGCTTGGTTGGGATACCAAAAACATGTTTTCCATTGAGTACCACCTAGAAGACCTGAAATATTTTTCAGCTTACTGGGAAAATGTGTTACTAAAATGCAATAATCCTAGATCATTGCTTTCTTGGTTGCAGTTTAATATGAAAAATCAGAAGCATGAACCTTTTTGACGAAAGGCAAGGTGATGAATATAATTTTTTCATATTAATAATAATTTTTTCTAAAAACACTCTGAGTCCTGTTTAAATACTTAAATGGCATGTAAATCTCATTAAATGTTTCCATTTTTAAAATGAGTTTAAGTTCGTAAGGCACTAATTCTAGATTTATGGCTCAAAATTTGGCCAAAAAGAACGTATTTGCCCCTCAAAAAATAGCTTAGACTCTAACTCCTCTCAGCATCAAGTTGTGCGATTTAAATTTGATGAATTCTAAATCAAGTTCTAATTAGAGTGTATTTAGAAGAATTAATATCAATGATTACTTGAATAACTTAGATTGCCCCTAAAAATCATAAATTCACAATGATTCTCCGTGTAATGACAATCAATAAAAATTGAGAGGGTGAAATAAAAAAAAACTCGTTGTTTATTCTAATTTTCATTTAATATGAATTCCTTTGTGCTGAGCCTTGCCAAAGCTAATGCAAAAATGAAGGAGTAAGTAGAGTATTACAGTAAAATGCAAAAAGAGAGTGCATTAAAATTTAAAAGAATGCAAAAAGAAGCAAAAACAGCATTTATAGCTCGTCCAAAATTGAAATTACGAAAAGTTGAAGCGCCTCCGCACTATTCGCCACCAAGAAATATCCGATTAAAGCCTCCTTCCCCAGATCCTCAAACACAAGCATATAATTCTTTCCCCTATAATGAAAGACCAGTATTTATGAACTACGCGTTGCCCGCTCAGCCAAGCACCTTGGCAAATCGCTGTTATAATTCGGTTGCCAATCGAAAATTTATTAATAATGAATTAAATAACTTTCTAGATCAAGTAGAAAATCCAAATCCTTCCCTTGCTCCCCTTTATGAACCTTCAGTTGATCCAGTTTTACATATTGGGCAATTTAATGATTTAGAAATCAAATTGGATGCAAACGAAGAGTAGTATGCTAATTGTAATGGATTATTTTACAAATTTGTTTTTAAATTCAATGTAAAATTTATCATGTATGTTTATTTTCTTCTTTATTTCCTATATTTTTAAATGATGCTACCTATTATTAAATATTCCCTTTGAAAAATGAGGTTTTATACATGAAATAATAACATTATTTAAATAATGAAATTTTTTGGAATAGAGTGGATGATATAATATACTTTCATCCATCACAATTATTATTTAAAATTATTTGAGCAGGTAATAAAGCAAAAAACAAATTCTGAATGTTTACTCAAATATATCACCAAAGAAATCAATTTGCGATAAAGCAAGGTTATAGTATTGACTTCCTGCCCAGTTTGGTCCTCCTTGAACAATTTTGAGGTATCTAAACGGATCTGACTGCGGTCTAACCTGGAACGTAACAGCATGATATTTTCCATTCAAAGCTTCAATATCCCATTCAGCATCAATTTCATTCCATTCTTTTTTATTGTTCGAGCCTAACAATTTCCATGATCTCATTGTGTGGAACTTAACACCTCCTAAACCCCTGATTGAATAAGCACTCAATGCAATCCTCCGATTCTTAAAATCGAATTGTATCCAGCTATCTTTATCATTCACTGTTCCAAAGATAGTTCCATTATTCTCAAATATGTTTGCCATTGTTCCAAAGTCAGTACTCGATGCAGAGATTTCAATATCACCACGACTATGAGGATGGTCACCTGTTTCAGTAGCAAGAGCTTTCACAATGCCTCCAAAGGCATTTTTAGTATATGGTATGGATTTTGATGGCTTTTGTTTGTCAAATTTTATAAATCGTTTTGCATCTTCTACATTTGGAACAGAAACTTCTTTTAGAAGCCTATTTTTAATAGATTCCCATATTCTTCCTGATAAGCCTGCTTCTTCTGCTAGTTTTATATACTTTGGCATATCTATTGAAGGAAGATATTCGCAAAATACACAATTTATTAATTTTATGTGTTTCTTATTAAACTCAGTGGCTTCAAACACAAAATTCAATAACTGAGTCTCAGAAGTTATTTGTAAATTCGGTGAATCTAAAATTGCTTCTAAAACTTCAGTATCAAGTTGCTTAAGGTATCCAAAATCATACATTGGGAATCTTTCAGCCATATAATCTGCTTCTTTTGAAGCAGAGATTTTTAAGAACAATTTCTCCTTTAATCTTCGAGCAGCATTATCAGGATTTAATGGTGTAGAGTCGAAAGATGTTGCCAAAGTTAAAAGTTCTTTGTTTTGTAACTCCATTGCTGCACTAAGTAAGAATAAATAGTTTGAATCATCAACTTGTATTTGTTGGCCGTACATTAAGTCCATAATCTGCATAAACTGCTTATCAGGATCCTGAATGTTTAACTGAAGTGATGAAACTGTTGTATCTAATATAGTCATCGCGGCAACTTTAGGAGATATAAAGTTTGCAAGTGCATGTTCACATGTATAGTATTCTCCATCGACTATAAAAGTGAATTTATCATATGGTTTTACTGATCTATTAACATTTAAACCTTGAGTTGATAATGTAATGGGTTTACCTGGCATATTATGATCCAAAAGTAAATGATCTATCAATATCTCTGCAATATAAAAGGTTTTGAAATGCCAAATCCAAGAAAAACAAAGAAAAAATTAATAACGAGAATTTATTAAAAATAAAAAGAGGATATTTACAATACAAAACCGTATAAAACTATTTTTTAATATGAAAAACCTTTGATAAAAGATCAAAAGTATCTTGTGAAGACTCTTTGAACTTTGGATCAATTGCAAGGTTCATTGCGAGCTTTCTAACGCTCATAAACTGATAAGAAATGGCCAAAATTTTAGCACAGAACTGTAAATCGTCGATAAATGGAACTTGATTCAAAATTTCAAGAGCTAAGTCAGAATTATAGCATGCAGCCAAGCAAGCAAACTCTGCATCTTTATCTGGTATCTTTTTGAGGAGTTCTGGCAAAACAATTTTTCTCGGACTTTCAGATGCGGCCAAATAGCCAAGCATTCGCTGTGATTCATCGTCTGACTTAATAAGATCAAGTATTATCTCATCTGATAACCTTTTTGCAGATTTTAGTCCTAATAACCATCTTATTGCCGCAATTTTGAGGGATTTGTTATCAGATGAGAGCGCTTTGACACATTTATCGGCTATTGCAATGGCTAGCTTCGGATTATACTTAGTACTTGCCAAAACTTCGAGAGATAATAATAAATTTTGGTCAGAATTCGAATAAATAACAGCCATACTAGCTAATCCGTTCTTACAAGCAGCAATAATAATATTTGTATCTGAATCAAGTGATCCTGTTGGGATTTCTTCGATGTATGGAATTAAAACTTCTTCAGGAACAGAATTTGTTGGTAAATTACGCAAATATGCAGCTGACTCTTTGAGTTTTGATGTTCCTGCAAAGAATTTTAGCAATTTTATAATATATTTCTGGTCATGTTGGATTCCTGTTTCAAAAAGGATCGCCCAGAGATCACCAACCAGTTCAGGGGGTAATGTTTTGTTGTAGAATTGCATGGCTAGCTGTTCAAGAGGGAGATGATTGAACTTTACGTTTTTCATTGCGGAATTCCATTCTGCGTACAGTTTTTCCGCGACTGTCCTGTTCTCCATGATGTAGGACTTCACGGCCTGTATGTCTGTTCCTGGAAAATATATTTCTAAGTTCTCAAATCTTTGGACAATTTCGTCAAAAGTTGGTCTTACGTCAGGATTGGCGTCCCAGCATTGCGTGATTAGGTCTTTTAGGAGCGGTGGAGTGTTCTTTTTCAGTTTTGGCCGCAATCCTTCTTCGACAATTTTATGAGCCAATTCTTTCTTGTCGTCCATGCCTGGATACGGTCTTTTCTTGGTCAGGAGCTCAACAAGAAGAATTCCGTACGCGTAGACATCGATTTTCGACGTAAATTTGTGAGATGAAACTAAAATTTCCGGAGCCATCCATTGTGTTGTTCCGACGGTTTGTGCTTTGAATGTATCGTCATCGTTAAACGATTTTGCGAATCCGAAATCGCAAATTCTGATCTTGTAGTTGTTATCTAGTAAAATGTTCAAAGATTTCAGGTCTCTGTGAACAATTTGGCATGCGTGGAGGTACTGCATGCCTCTGGCAATGTCGTAGGCTGCAATGGTGTATTGTGTGGCCGACATTTTGTGATTTTTCCTGCAATCATCAAATAAAGATTTATTTGGCATGAATTCGGTGATAATCGTGTAAGGAGGCACGTCTGTAGCACCTATAAATCGTATTAGACATGGATGGGATATTTTATTTAAGACAGCAAGGACTGCAACCTCTCTTTGGAATAATTGTAAATTTGATCCATTCAAATTTACAAATTTAAAGCGTTTGAGAGCGACTTTCTCGCCTGTTTTCTTATAAGTACCTTTGTAGACAACTGCTGAGAGTCCATGACCAATTTCTTCTTCAATTTCGAAATCATCAATAAAAACTCGCCATTGTTGGTAATTTATAGGGATGGGAGAAAACATACGGCTGCCTTCATCCTTTGTATGATCTAAAAGTGCTAAAGATTCCGTAATATCTGTAAATCTGTTTTGGATTTGATTAATTAGATCTGTATCTTCTGTTTCGGATTGAAGAAATGCAGCAAATGATGCACAGATTGCACGCAAATCATATACATGATATAATTGAAGTTCTGAGCTTTCGGGATCAAAATTTAACGAAATTTCGTGATTTAATGGATCAATTGCATCACGAAGCGTATTAATAAGCGTTTTTATTTGTTCGTAAACGAAATTTGCTGGATTTTCTAGCGTAGGGACTGTCCAAGTTTGAATTATATAAAGAGCAAGTAAATTTTTAAAATCACTAAAGCATCCAATCATTTTCTTTATGGATCTCATTTCTTCTCTTGCTATCACATCATTTTCAGGCTGTTCATCGTACCAATTTGCAAATTTATCAAGCTGATTTAGGACGAACTCAAATTTTTTTCGATGAACAGCTGTTTGATCTGATAATACGCGTAATGCCCTCATCGCCTTCCGAACTTTGTGCTGAGCACTGGTTCGGGGAGTCATTTTTTTCAGCTTGGCACTTTTCTCATCAAAGATGATACATCTGAAACATGGCTATTGTACATCATTACTGGATTGCTTTTCCAAAAAATGTTTATAATGATATGAAATTTTCCTATCATTCGTATTTTTATTGAAATCTTTATCTAAATTAAGGTAGAATGCATATAATGAGAGATAAATGTATTGTATATGATTTGTGTTGTTCGGTATTTCGGTAAATTATCATTATTGATTTAAAAAAATAATACAATGAATATTTCAGCTCTGCTTTCCTGTAATTGAATAATTCTTTAAAACATATCTCGATATGGCATTATTTAGACTCTCTCGTTGATTCGATAAATTTACAATTTGAAAGATATTTTTTTCAAATTTCTAAAATATTAACCCACATTCCGGAAGTATGTATTGATTAACAATCATCCAGATACTTGCTTATAATAATAAAATGATTTTATTTTGAAATATAAAATATTAATTGTGAATATCATTAATATAATCCTTTAAACAATGGGTCAATGTGTAATATTAAATATATGGCATGGGTATTGGGCTAAACCTGAATGTTTTGGGAAATTATATTTATCATAGAAATTTACAATTAATAACATGAACAACTTAATGATTGCACGCAAGGAATTGTCTGTAGCAGAACCGTTGTTCAAGATCAAATGAAATTCTCAAATGATTCATAAAATGCTTCAATTTTTTGAAGGTATTTTCAAAATTGATATGACGACAAAAATTGGATTTGAATAACCGCAATCATTGAATTTCTTAGTTTAAAATATTGTCCTTTTATATGAGTCATGCCTAAATTAGAAAAATGTATTTGTGAAATAAATTTTTTTGAATGTATCGAATAATTTTTAATAAACTCAAAAATTGAACCGTCATCCCATATAAATATTTTCTGAAGCTCACTGAAATCATAGTCTATGTTTCATAGATAGCTCCAAAAACATAATCTTTTTTAATATTGATAAAAAGCATCACCATAATTTGAAAATAAAAACATTTTATACAATATTTCTTTGAGCAGATATGGAATGAGATGAATCTTCTATAGGTATCATATCTCTCTTGATTTTTTGATTTTTGTATCCTTTTTGAACTGAATTTTATATCTTATTGAAATTGAGGCTTAATTTTTGTTTGAATTAATCCTGTATGCAATAAATCTATTCACTAATTGTTATCATCGGAATTTATTATGAAAAATAAGATTATGTGAAATTCGATTTCGAACGAAACTATGAATTTAAGGGTGCACCCGTATGTACGTTTATTTGAGAGGAGGAGGATTACCCTCTCAATTTTGAGGGATTCGTTAGTTTATTTTCTCGATGAATATGCAATAAAATTTGATTTTTACCTTATCAATATACTTCATATAATATACACATGTTCATGTAAAAACTTTTTTCCAAAATCCTCAGGAATTAAGGGATTTTTGAATTTTAAGAATTTTTTTCGAATTTTTTCGAAAAAAAAATATTTTCAGAACAGCCTTAACGGCTAAGATTTAGGAACAATGTTAAGTATCAAAAAGAAAGGAGGTCTGATATAGACAACATATATCGTTGAAGATTGAAAAAATCTCTAATATTTGAGCCCAAAATTTCAAATTTTAATTTTTTGAAAAAAGAGGCCACCCGTATGTACGTTTATTTGAGAGGAGGAGGAGGATTATATTTTTGAAAGGGTGAAACATTATGAATATGTTAATTATATAATAATATGTATTATTATAAAAAAGAAAAAATAAAGCACGTTAAAATTTTTCTTTCTTGATTTTTTACAAAATCTACTTAGAATTATGCAAAATATGACTAAATAATTATAAATTTCAAGTTAAATTTTAATTTTGATAAATAATTTAAATTTCAAAATGTCAAGTTCAGTTCGACTATGTATGTAGTAATTCCTCAATAAAGTGCCAAAACCCTATTAAAATATATGAACATTTTCAAAATTTTAATGTTTTTATTTAAAAATTTGATGGAATATGAGCTTCAAACAATTATTATGTAAATAAAAATAATTAAATATATGTATTTATTCGTATTACAACCGTAGTAAGTCGATTCTTCCTTTCTTCTACTGAGTTTTGAATTTGATTTCGAATTGTAAAGAGATTCAAAGGGAAAATACTAGCGGATAAAAACTACCTCCATGAAAGGGTCATAATGGAGTCAAGTTGTATTTTTTGATATTTTTTGCTTTTCGAGCCTAAATAGGTAGCCAAGATAATGCCTAAAAATAAGGTTCTAAATTCTGAAGTTTACATGATCCTCTCGTGTGCACCCTTAAGTCCCTTTTGCAAAATGTTACTCATATAATTTGAATCTGAGGCACGCTAATTTTTGAGAGCATCAAATATTCGTTGATAATTTTTGATAAAATCATTTGCATGTTTCTAATAAAAGGCTTTTGTCTAAAAACTCATTTGAATAAAATTCAATAGTCTCACAAAAATTTCAGAAATATTTGAAATCAAATTTATTTTCATTTTAATAATGACCAATATGCCAAACTGTGTTGAATTATGTGGACTAAAAATGGCCAATACTTTAGGTATTACAGATCCAGAGATTCTTTGCCGCTATAAAGAGTTGTTCCACCAAGTTTGTTGTGGCAAAATGAATTTACGGGATGCATTAATAGAATGCAGTCGTTATTCTATGAATCCAAGACCTGTTGAATATGTTGCAGAGATAATTGGCACAGCAAAAGATAGAGTTAAAAATTATCCAAAATATGAAAGATATGACCCGTCTTTTAGGAAAAAGAAAGGTATATGGCAATGGTCGGCCTATGAAGATCAAAGATTAATTATGGGAGTCTATTTATGCAACGGAGATTTTGAAAAAGTAGCAAAATTTGTTGGAAATGGAAGAACAAAAAATCAATGCTCTCAGAGATGGGACAGGACTGTCAATCCAATGATCAATAAGGCTCCATGGACTCCTGAAGAAGAAGAGATGCTGGAAATTGCTTATCATATTCATGGAGCTTCATGGATCAAAATCGCAGCATATCTTGGGACAAGAACGGATGTTCAATGCAGATATCATTATTTACATGTAATGAATGGCAGCTCACCAAAGGCAATTAGAAGCAGACAAATAAGAGAAGTAAAGAAGTCGAAAGAAGATGAGAAAAAGAGAGAGTTATTGTTGGAAGGAATTCAAAAGATTCTTAGGAGTACTGATATTGACTATCTTGATGAAGCGTTGTTGGAAACGTCAATTTCAGATTTCTCAATTTAATTCGTTTAGAATATAACTTAATTTTGTATGATTTATATCTTTTGCATCTTAATAAAAATTAATGTTTCATATTTTGTTTCGAATCTAGCATATTTTTTTGTTATAGACCGAAAATAGATTTTTTCGGTTTTCTCTTCAAATAATTGAAAGAATGATACTATTATGGGTTTATTATATTATATAGCATATAATCATGCTATAGCCGAAAATTATAAGTTTTGAGAAGATTGAATATAACACAAATAAATTTGAAAGTAAGTTAAATTGCTTGTTGTTTTTAATAGCTATTTAATGAGAAATCCAATATTGCAAAATTCAAATTGAATGACTGAAAGAACAGAAAAAGTCATTCTTTTCAATTTCGAATATGTTTCATTGTATTTATAATTATATGGCAAATAAGATATTTAAACTTGATTTTTGAAGGAAAATTCACAAAATTGAATAAATTCAAATAATTTTCATTCAAAAATAAACTAGTTATATGAGTTTAATACCAATTATCTATTCAAACTACAAAGTTTGTAATTTAAAATATTTTGTGAGATCAGATTGAATTAATTCAAGGTTCTTTTCAATTAATATTAATGACCATATTACGCATTTTCGAACATTCTAAACCAAATATATAAAAATGGGAGACGAATGTTAAATTTTCTAGACATAAAGAAGTTGTTTACCGAGTTTTAGTTCTTATCTCTAACAAAAAATTAATTTTTAAAAAAAAGACCGAATACGTTTCACAGCGAGAAAAAAATAAAAGGCAAGATAGAATTTTCTAGACATAAAGAAGTTGTTTACCGAGTTTTAGCTCTTATCTCTAACAAAAAATTAATTTTTAAAAAAAAGACCGAATACGTTTCACAGCGAGAAAAAAATAAAAGGCAAGATAGAATTTTCTAGACATAAAGAAGTTGTTTACCGAGTTTTAGCTCTTATCTCTAACAAAAAATTAATTTTTAAAAAAAAGACCGAATACGTTTCACAGCGAGAAAAAAATAAAAGGCAAGATAGAATTTTCTAGACATAAAGAAGTTGTTTACCGAGTTTTAGCTCTTATCTCTAACAAAAAAATTAATTTTTAAAAAAAAGACCGAATACGTTTCACAGCGAGAAAAAAATAAAAGGCAAGATAGAATTTTCTAGACATAAAGAAGTTGTTTACCGAGTTTTAGCTCTTATCTCTAACAAAAAATTAATTTTTAAAAAAAAGACCGAATACGTTTCACAGCGAGAAAAAAATAAAACTGTACACTGATTTTCATTTTCATTTCCAGTCACTTTACTTATTATTTTTTCTTTTTTTCATTTTAATTATAAATTATTTCATAATACGTTTATTTACGTTACCATTTTCTATTTTCTTTTGAATTCCATACTAGACACTTATAGAATATTTTGATTGTTAACGTACTTCATTAGAATGAATCCTTACAAAGGGTATGTCGATCGAATTTACCTAATTGGTATTTCCAATCAGATTGAAGAAGGTAAAATGACATGGGAAGAAGCTTGCACCCATGTTCCCATCGCCCCAACCCTTCAATCAAATGATTTCAAATATTTAGATGTTTCAAAATCTTTTTTACAAAATCAATTTAGCTTACAGAATATCCCATTGCCTAAAGGCAAGAAAGGTCGTAGGGTCAATCCCTACGACCAAATCAAAGCTCTTGCTGTGATACATGACCACTGGGCCTTTCCCTGTGGTCAAACAAAACAATGGAAACGTTTGAAATTACAACAAATTGATGTATCTTATAGAGAAGTACGCAGATACTTCAAAGAAAATCATTTCACCAAGACGCGATTAGAGCATGCCGGGCCAGAAACAGCAGTAAGATATTGGGCGCTTTCACCCAATCTTATCTGGCACGCAGATGTTCATTATTTTAGGGGTGTTCGTGGCCAGTATATTTATGGCATAATCGACGATTTTAGCCGCAAAGTCCTAGCGTGTATACAAATACCAGATATGCTGGCAGCGACGACAGCGAACGTTGCGGCTTCCGCCTTCATTGAATTTGGCGCCCCTTATTGTTTCTGGACCGACAACGGTTCAGAAAATAGGGGCGCCTTTCAAGATCTACTTGATCTTTGGGGCGTCCAATGGCGGCATACAGACTCTCATTCTCCCTACCAAAATGGGAAGATTGAGAGATTCTGGCCGACATTGGAGCGCTGCCAAAGCATTCAGGCTATTCCTGCCTTTATTTGGGAGTACAATAATAACACACCGCATGAAGATCTCCCAATTAATCCATTAACTGGAACAAATTACACGCCAAATCAAATGTATCAGCTGAAACCGAAATACACAAATGCAGATACAGAAAGGTTGTGGCAAATATGGGATACAGATACAGGCATGACCGCTGTTGACACATTCACAGCGTAATAATAAACATAATTTTTTAATTTCATTTTTAACAAGTTTTTTTAAATGTATGTAATGAATAATAAAAAAAAAAAAAAAAAAAAAAAGGTAGTGGGGCTTCCAGGCACTTCGTGCCCTCTAGCCCCCCGTCACTTTTCTGTCACTTTTCAGGAAAAAACATTTTTATTATATATATAAAATGAATTTTACAAAACCACCGTTACCCTTCTTTGGAAATAAGAGTAGATGTAAAGATATTCTATTGAGAGAACTTAAGAAACTACCGAATGGTCTAACATTTGTAGATTTGTTCGGTGGAAGTTTCTATATATCTCATTTGTGCCATACTGTATTTCCTGACTCAAAGATTATATGCAATGACTTCGACAACTATATGAACCGTCTCAAACATATACCAGACACAAACAAAATATTGAGTGAGTTAAAAGAAAAGATACCTATAGGTAAGATGGAACGTATACCATTAGATAAGAAAAATACTGTCAGAGAGTTTTGAAAAGGCAGAGTATATTGACTGGGATAGTATATCTGCTAGACTATTATATAGTGGTGCTATAAGAGTTCATGACATTGAAACACTTATGTCAAAAGTTTTATATCTTAACTATACAAATGTTTTCAAAGAGAACATAGAAAAATATATTGAGGGTATAGAGTTTGTGAGATGTCATTGGACAGAGTTGTATGAAAAATATAAAGACAAGGAAAATGTTTTCTTTATAGTGGACCCGCGTTCTTTAACACATGGGATTTTCAATACCAAGTAGACTGGACTTTGAGAGACTCTTTAGAAACTTTAGACGTTTTACATAACCATCCATGCTTTTACTTTACATCCGATAAAAGTGGTTTGGAAAGTGTCATGAGATGGTTAGAGGACATACATGACTATGAGTTTAGATACGATAAGAATAGAATATGAGAGAGGTCCTATAAACTGGAGAAAGTGTCATAACAAAGAAATTTTACTAGTAAGTAAATGTGGTTTGAAATAGGACTACTTGTTTTAGGTTTTTTCCATTGTGTCATTTACTTATTTGACGTGGCAGAAAGATATAGAGAATATGAAGATGAACCAATGCCTGCAAATGTTCAGCATATGTACTCGTAAGAGATATTTTTATCTAATATTAAATGGACGCACAGAACTTAGCGAATGCACAGCAACCTGGACAACCAAACCCAGAGAATATTCCAAATGAAGTTAGAATACAAACTGCAATGGCAAACTATGGTCAAGTGCCAACAGATGTACAAATGCAAACTGCCATGTCAAATGACGCTGCGTTAGGTTTGCCAACCATGGTATGCATATATGAGATGGAAAGAGTTTTATACAAACCCGAATGGGATATAAACAACTCTATGCAGATGACGCGAACACAGGAGTTGACCCAGAGTATGTTTTCTACCAGAGGAGAAATAGAATGTATGAGCTCCAGTTAAAGAATGCTATGGAACTCAGAAGGAAACGTAAGAGACTAGGTGGACATTAGATTTTTACATATAGTAAATGGGTTTCTTTGGAAGAATAGGAAACTTCTTTCGAAATGTTGGAAGAGGTATATGGAATGGAAATAAAACCGTCGGAAGAGGAATTTGGAACGGAAGTCAAAAATATTGGCAAAAAGAGTAGGTCAGTTCGTTGGTATTATACCTAAAGACCCTGAACCAGAAGAGCAAGCTCCTGTTATACAACAGCCTGAACCTGCACCAAGTCTAGTTGGCAACCAAATCCAACACCTCAACCGTATTAAAAAATCATATTTTTACCGTTCGATAGTAGTTGTATATGAAACTAAGTTCTAAGTAAAACGCGTGGTATAATGGAATTATTCTCTTTCTTCCATCTGTAGTAAACCATACTTGAAGTCTGAAATACTTCCACTCGGTGGTTCATATAGCTTTGTAGGTTTTTCGTAAAAGTCATTTGCCAAGCATAAAAAGAGTTTTGTGCACCAGAAAATGAAGCATGAAACTATAATAGCATCTGAGTCGAAAACATTTTCATATGTTCCATTAGGGTTTTCGACTTCATAAAAGTTCGGGTGTACTGGATATTCTGCAGGCTGATTTTAACATCAAAAATCTATACCATGCCAAGTTGTTATATTTTGTAGAAATATAAACGTCTTCTCCAAGGTCTTCTATTCTATTGATTTTAACAGTTGCATTTTTCCTGTCATATATAATATCGGATGGTACTCTCCTTCGTCAATGTTGTACTGTTTTGCATATTCGAGATTAGATATCGTTTATTTTTTCTTGAAAAGCTTGAAGAGTTGTTTCTAAGTTTACAAGCAAATTCACTTGTAAAAGTTTTCCCTGTTCAAATTTCTCATACGTACGTTTCTCTTTGTTATAGTATCGAATTTCAAAAGCGACCGTAAATGGGAAACCATGTATGGCTTCTGAAATGAACTTCATTCTACGAAAGCCAACAGCTTTTGTGACGGATGGGTCTCTTAGCCATCTCAATGGGTAGTCAAAACGATAGCCTTCGTGCTTTACGGTCTCTGTCTCAAACTTTTGACCGACATTGGTAAAAAGTTCATCTAATGGTTTAGTTGTAGCAACTCTAGAATTTTCTTTTTCTATTGAA